TGATGATGAGAAATTTATCGTCTTGGTCACAGTTGCTTACATGGACGCAAACATGGAACGATTACGATTCCTTAATTTTGACTTTGGTTCCTTAAGACTGGTTACAGTGGTAGGGTTGGGAGAAAATGTAGTTACTCTTCTTTTGATTCTGATACTCACAGTAATGAGAAGGAGTGATAGATGTAACAGAAGGGTAAGCAATAAAATCCTAATTTTGGTTCCTTTTTGGTAATTAAACGAATGATACATTCTCTCTTCTGATTAATTCTTCTTAATTAGAAAAACTACATTGAGAAGATTGTGTTGTATGTAATACCTGCACTTGGAGCATGTTTGTCATGTGTGGACCTCGTGGTGCTTCTGAGGACAAAGTGTATGCGAGCTTTCATTATCTGCTTTCTCCCTTTGTCTCGTTTCGCATTGTGGGTAAGCTTCTTTGTTTCCTTGGTTAAGTTGAGTGTTTCTCTTTTATAATATCATCTTTACTCTATCGGTTTTATTCTGTAGATTGGCATCATGCTGCAATCTAAGTTTGCATGCGCTTGCTGCGTTTTCAGTAGCCGGATGCTATGTTTCTGGTGGATCCTTAGATTACCAATGGGGGCCCTTCATCTCAACATGATTTTCACTTTAAAGGTAAATGAATTGTTCGAGTCACATTTTCCATATAAGTTGTTGATGGGGATATATAGGAATGGATGTAAAAGTTCAGACCTTTGATGACCAACAGCCTTTGGAGATTTGCCTGATCATTTTGGACATTGCTTTTGGTATCTCTATCAACATCGTAAGGATACAGCATGCACCTCCCAGGATCAGGTATATGCTTTTATACGACTTGTTTCTTTAATTTCTTTCCGTTTTTCTTCTCCTGCATCATTATTTTCCTCTTGTAGTTCTTTGGAAGATCCACTTATTGAAGAAGGTGATGATCAAAGGCGCATTGTACGTCAGTTCATGTTGTCGCTTCCTTGTAACTAACTAGTACTACATAGTTCTTAAACCAACTGATTTTTCATTTTTCAAGGGGAAAACTGGTAGCTGGTGGGATTGGTTCACTTTTGGACACATCAGTTTAGTAATGAGACATGGCTCGATGAAGCAGCTCGAATTCAAAGATCTAATTCCTCTCCCACTTGATATGGATCCTTCTACTTGTTGTGAGAATTTATTGAGATGCTGGCAATTTCAAGAGTGCAATAATCCCTTAAATCCATCACTAATCTGGTCGATTTCTGGTGTGTATGGATGGCCATATTTTCGTCTTGGACTGCTGAAGGTACGTTTGCTTATTTGACTTTCTGGTAATCTTTGCTAATAATGCTACTGAAAATTATAAATTTTGCAGGCCTTCAATGATTGCATCGGCTTTGCAGGCCCCTTATTACTCAACAGACTTATCAAGTATCTTGAGAAAGGTTTAGATTTTTTGTAAATATTTGGTATGTATGATTTAGTAATGGAACCATTGACACTGTGTTTGACTGAACAGGTTCAAGAAGTTCCATTGGCTATACCCTCGCTATCTCCTTGGGCCTCACATCTATCTTTAAGTAAATCCATTAGCAAGTCATATAATATGTTTATGTATTTCTTTCGATTGTGTTCGAAGTGTAACAGTAGTTAATAGGCACTTCTAATATATGCTTCACGTCTTTGTAGGTCCTTTCTTGATACACAATACACATTTCGTCTATCAAAGCTTAAACTAAAGCTACGATCTAGTATAATGAGTGTCATCTACAGGAAGGTAAAATATGTAAAAGTGAACTGATATTGTGAATGGTAGTTAGTTCTTCAAACTTCATGAAAGTGTATGAAGTGAACTAGTTACTTTTTTAACATCTGAAGTGAGCTACCTATCAAACAAGTGGCTTATATATAATATGGTTTTGGAATTTCTATCTAAAATCTCAGGGTTTAGTGTTTTTCTAGTTACCTCGATGAGTATTTGGTTCAGGATATTTAAATCTCCTATTGAAAGGCTTCTTTTGAGGTTTTATACGATAGCTAGTTACTTGGTGTATCAAACATTTTGGTTCTTTGGTAAAAGATGTTATGTTTAAGAGATTATATTGTGTGCAGTGTTTGTGGGTGAACACAGCGAACCGGTCAGGATTTTCCGAGGGTGAGATTCAAACATTCATGTCGGTAGATGCTGACCGCATTGTCAATTTGTGCAACAGTTTGCATGACATGTGGAGGTAACAACATCTGCCTGTGAACAAGAGTATGTAAATTTCCGATCTTGAGTACGGATAAAATGGTCACTCTTTCCATCTCGTTCGGGGTATTTGTCTCAGCTTGCCTTTGCAAATCGGGATAGCTTTGTATCTTTTGTATACTCAAGTCAAATTTGCGTTTCTTTCTGGACTTACAATTACCATCTTGCTAATACCAGGTACGATCTTACATTACAAAACCTAAGTATCTGGAGTGCCATTTTTCTCATTTACTCTCTTTTCAGTCAATAAATGGATATCCGTGCTAATTGCGTCTGCAACCGAGAAAATGATGAAGCTAAAAGATGAGAGGTATGATTTCCTTTATTTTCTCTATTCTGTTTCTATATAAAGGTGATCCAATGATATTTTAGTAGTAATTTCTTAAATTGTCAAAGGTTTTGTTATCTATCAGGATTAGAAAGACAGGAGAGCTTCTAACAAATATCCGCACGCTAAAAATGTATGGTTGGGATAGTTGGTTTGCTAATTGGTTGAAGGAAACAAGAGCCACCGAAGTCACTTACCTAGCGGTTTCATTTTCATATCCCCCCCTTCCGCTACTGAAGCTAATTTTGTCTATCTCCAAGTATTTGTATTAAGTGTTTGTTTGGCTTTTCCAGACTCGGAAGTATTTGGATGCTTGGTGTGTTTTCTTTTGGGCAACGACACCAACTCTTTTTTCTCTTTGCACTTTTGGTGTCTTTGCACTGATGGGTCATCAACTTGATGCGGCAACGGTATTTTGAATATTTTTCAGTACCTTTTGACTCAAATAGATATAGGTGTCCTGGAATCCTCATACTTTGAATTGCTTTGTTCAGGTATTTACTTGTCTTGCTTTGTTCAATAGCTTAATCTCCCCATTAAACTCGTTTCCATGGGTAATCAACGGCCTTATTGACGTAAGTTTGTCTCTTAACCATGGTGGATTCTGAGAATAACATTTTTATCTACCCTTTCAGTTATGTTTTTTATGTTAACTTGTCACAGGCCTTTATATCCACCAGGCGTGTGAGCAAATTCTTGCGCTGTTTTGAGCATAGTAGAGATTCCTCTATAGATTCTGGTTTGCTCTCTGAAGACTTAGTCGTGTTTGTGGAAGATGCATCTTGTATTTGGTCAAGTAAGGTTGAAGAGGAACATAACTTGACAGTTAAACATGTCAGCCTAAGAGTGCCAAAGGGATCATTTGTTGCAATTATCGGTGAGGTATAGAAATCGTTCTCACTTCTGTTTATTTTAATATCGCTTTCTATATTTGTAGAATCATTCATCTGATTTAGGTGAATTTCTTGAACTGTTTTTTTTTTGCTTTCCTTCATTTTCAGGTTGGTTCAGGCAAAACATCTTTGTTAAATTCACTACTAGGAGAAATGCAGTGTGTTCATGGATCAATACTTTTAAATGGGTCGGTGGCATACGTACCACAGGTTTGTAAGTTAATCAAATACTTTCTATGATTCTTTTCTTTCTGGTTTCAACTTTGAGAAGTCTTACATATACGTTTCTCAACTACAAGGTCCCATGGATTTTATCTGGAACTGTACGGGAAAATATATTATTTGGGAAGACTTTTGACTCCAAAAGGTCTAGTAATTCGCTTAATCAACACTTTTAATGTTCTGTTCTACAATGATCGGAAGTACATATACACAAAGCTACTTGCTGATGTATTTTATCTCTGAAAAATGCAAAGTTTTAATCTTCATGTTACTTTGTTAAACTAGGTATTTTGAGACCTTGAGTGCTTGCACACTAGACGTCGATATTTCACAAATGGTCGGAGGTGACATGGCATGTATAGGTGATAAAGGAGTAAACTTATCTGGAGGACAGAGAGCTCGGCTTGCTTTGGCCAGGTCTGA